TACCGTACATCGTTGCGAAGATGCTTCGACCGGGCACCTACAAGCTCAAGACCATCGACGGCAAAGTCTTCATCAATGCCTGGAACATCGAATAACTAAGTCACTTTTACCCCTAGCCTATGCATGTACTTGCGGAAATTAAGAATGATGTTTCTGAAATGCGAAAATATTTTTTCTTATCGATTTCGCTATTTGTCCCCTCGATCTTCAGTGACACCCGAACCCAGCAATGGCAAGGGGTCGGACCTCACTCGGGGTTGATAGGAGTATATCTACCCAAAAACATTCTTTGCTCCCGATCCTCTCTTACGTTAAGATCTAGAAGCAAGGGTTACGCAAACAAACGCTAAGTAAAACTGGTCGGACCGCAAGAAACCTACGTCCAGCAGCTACGACATCTTTGCTCACCAGCGTGATCAGAGTTTTTTTCGCCCGCACCCCGAGCTTTACAGCCTTAACTATGGAAAGGGTCGAAACACATTAACCTTTTTTATAAAAAAAATGGAGAAGAACCAAAAGTCTATTCGACCATAACAAAAGTTAAAAACTTGTCTACTTATTACAAGTTCGCCGCCTGGCCTATCTAACTAACTAACCCCTTGGGGGGATGACCTCATCCTCGATCTTGATAGATAGGTCATGCGCCAGGGGGGCCACCGACTCCTCGATCTCCTCCAGCTCGAGGCCATCGCAGACTAGTTGGATTGACATGCCTGCCGTGCCTCATCACATCACCTCTCTGGGAATCGTGCACACGCCGCCCCCAGCCGCTCATCAAAGGGCGTGTTGGATAGCGGGTCGCCCCCTCGATGGGGGCAAAAACCGCCATAGGTAAGAAGGGATACAGAGCTAAAAACGCTCCCACGGCCCATTAAGGCCCATGAGTTCGAAGGTTGGCCCACCGATGGGTTCACAACTACTGCAGGGCACCTTTAAAGTGGGGGGTGGTAAGGGATGGGCCCGCTAGCGGTCGGTACCCGGGCGCACGAGCGCCACGGACATCCCAGTCCACGTTCGGGTCTTGGGCGAGCACGATCCATGGTTTTTCTTCCAAGAAAGGCAATGAGCCCTTGGGACCGGTCGATTGGGCCAAAGAACTATATGGATTGGCTGCCAGGAATCTAGAGAAGGTCACCAGCTGACCCATGCCGGAACCCCACGAACGGAAAGCCGAGGCCCCACTCGAACTAGCCCGTTAACAGTTCACTTAGCACAATGATTCGTCCATCGAGGAAAACATAGCACGGCTCAGCCCCTCCGTTTTATCGAAAAAACGCTTGAGGGACGACGACCACAAGACGAGCTGACCCCTCGACCAGACCCTTGCTACTGCGCGGGGGCTCGGAGGAAGTTGGACTCGCAAGAGAGATCGAATACGCGATCGCATGATAATGGTGGATCGATCGGATCCTAGGGAGGATCGGAATCAAGAGAGATCTTTTTTGACCCCCCCGAATTCCGCATCCGCATGCTCCCGAAGAGTCCGAATGCAACGGAAAGGAATCGTGACCCTACCAAGACATCCCGTGGCCCACAAAGGGAGATCAAGACCCTCAGAATCCTTCCGTCTGAAAAAACCGTTCAAGGAGTATCCTACTCCTCCATAGGCTCGGAGGCTACTGTCGAGTATCAGTATTTGGGATACCTAGAAGAAGGAAGCTGATGGCCACGAACACTAACTCGTCCTGATGGTCAAGAGTGTATTTTGGTCTCACCCGACCCCGAAGGTATGGGCTCCGTGTCGCCCGACCCCTCGGGCTCGGGCTCGGTCACGTCATACCCCTCGGGCGCGGGCTCCACGCGTCCGACCCCGAGGCGCGGGCTCCATCTCGCCTCGATCCCGAGGGCGCGTGCTCCGTCTCGCTAGATGCCTTGGGCGCGGGGCCTGTCTCGCCTGATCCCGAGGGCGCGGACTCCGTCTCGCCAGACCCCTCGGGCGCGGACTTCGCCTCGCCAGACCCTAGAAAGGGGGATTCCGCCTCGCCCGACGAGGGTTCGTACCGTCTCTAACCACTACGGGTCTAATAGTACGAACCCATGGTCAAACTTCTTACACCAGAAAGGGAGTAGGCACGTCTTGACGTGACCCGCGGCCACGGCAGGCCATACCTGAGGACTCACGTCGCCAATAGTGTCGGGCGTGCCGGCGCTATGTACCTAATCCCCGTACGTCTTCCGACAGGGGTATCTGCTAACGATACCGCCCGTCCGGACGGAATGGAGCGCCATGACCGGCTGACGACACCCATGTATAGCGCCAGTGATGAACAAGGTCACGACGTGTGGCCATCCCCGTCATCATCTACAGGGCCAGCGGGACCCGCATAAAGGAGATGAAGGGTGCCGCGACCCCCGAGGCCTTCTTCCTCCTTCCTTTTCTCTCTTTTTTTTCTCGTGTAACCTGCGTCTTCCCCTTCATCTATAAAAGGGGAAGCAAGACGCTCCACGAAGAAGATGGCTCGACGGCTAGACGACTGAACGAGCTCAACTCCGTTCGACTCTTTCACCATAGACTTGGGACATGGTACCTCTCTCGTCCGTTTGTAACATTTACTACAAATTAGTGTCGGTAACACGAGCAGCAGCAGACTGAACGTAGTGACATTCCGCCCGAACCAGTATAAATTCTTATGTCCTCCGAGCACACCATCCGGGCCAGACACGCAAATCACATATTTACTGGTCGGTGATTCGAAACACCGACAATAAATATTAGTATATTTTATATAAATTTAGTTAAATTTACTCGAAAAGATGTGCAACTATTTATTTTGGAGCAAGCAAAACGTAAATATTATCAAGTTTTACGTCTATGGTCAACAACTCACAGATGACATATATGGGCCCTGTTTGGTACAGCTTTTCTGGGAAACGCTTCTCAGATAAGCTGCACAAATAGAGTAAAATCCAATAGTAGAGAAACGACTTTTGATCTACTTCGAAATTTGGCTTTAGTCCTGGTATTTTTCGCGCCCGGGACTAGAGAAACCTTTAGTCCCGGTTGGTAGCTCCAACCGGGACTAAAGGTCCCTGCCCAACGGCTGCCGCGGCAGGCTTTTGCTGCAGGGGACCTTTAGTCCCAGTTGAAGCTATCAACCGGGACTAAATGTTAACTTTTACTCATGGTTGGTCCCTTTAACCAGGAGTAAAAGTCTACTCCCGGCTAGAGGCTCCGTCCGGAACTAGAAAGGGACCTTTAGTCCCGATTGTTCTCTCTGACCGGGACTAAAGGTCCCTCCTGTATACCCCTTCTTCCTCCCCGCTTCCGATCCAACCAAGCAGCGCAGTTTTCGGATCCTAGGCCGACCCACGGGCGCTCAAGTCCTTCGCTTTGACCTCTCCAATGGGGTCGACCTCGGGGACGCCGCCGCGGCCGAGGTGGGGCGGGCGAGGGGGCTCAGGAGGCTCTCGCTGGCAAGGTGGAAGCCTCTCACTGACATGGGGCTCGGATGCGTCGCCGTCGTGTGCACCGAGCTGGAGAGCTCTCGCTCAAGTGGTGCCTTGGGGTCTCAGATCTGGGGATCCAGCTCCTCGCGCTCAAGTGCAGGAAGCTGACCAGCCTGGATCTCTCCTACACCATGGTAAGCGCTCAGGTTTTTTTGGTGCTCTGCTTGTTTCTTGGATGATTCTATCTTTTGTTTCCTTCTAGTACGTTTGTTGATTTGATAAGACATCCAGGTTCCTCTTTAATTCACCGGAGCAAAATGGGCTTCAGTTTCCCTAAAAAAATGGGCTTCAGTTACTCCCTTTGCTAGTTACTAGTACATATTTGCTCAATCTAATTTATTATTCAGTTAGTGCTTAGGGCATATTGTGCTGGAGTAATAATAAAATGGAAACATATCTTGTGTCGCAGATCACAAAGGATAGTTTTCCTGCAATCATGAAGCTACCCAATCATCAAGAGTTGACACTGGGACTTGACAGAATGGGGCGCCCATTTTGTGCTTACAGTATGAGTTGCTTGATGAGATGATGGATTTTGGGTACCCACAATACACGGAGGCGAAGATCTTGAGTGAGTTCATCAAGACATGCATACAGGATGGAGGTCACGCAGCCAAAAAACCAAAACGAATCATCAATCAAAAATACCAACCAGAAAAAAAAGAAAAAGAAAACATTTAGTCCCGGTTGGTAATACCAACCGGGACTAAAGGGCCAGCCCACATGGCCAGGCCGGGAGACCTCTTTAGTCTTGGTTGGTATTATCAACCTGGACCTTTAGTCCCGGGCGAGAAACCGGGACTAAAGGAGGGGGACCTTTAGTCCCGGATTCGTGCTCCCGGTTGGAAAACCGGGACTGAAGGGGCTTCCCAACCAGGAGTACAACTTGTTTCTGTACTAGTGAGCGGTGGTCAAAATATTCTGGTCTGATCTAGCTTCTGTTTTTTATACAAATGGGAGCTGTGGGAATAAGCGTGGCCAGAATAAGCTGTTGAAAAGCGTAGCGTTTGGCTGTTGATTTCAGTTTATTTTGGCAATAAGCAGCTTATAAGCTATACCAAACAGGCCCATGGTACTTCCTCCGCCCAAAAATGTCAAACTTTTTTTAAGTTCGACCAAGTTTAGAAAATTATATTAACATCTATATTTCAAAATAGGTTTATTATAAAAATATATTTCATAACTATAATTTAATAATGTTTATTTATAGTATCATAAATGTTAGTAATTTTTCATATATATTTGGTTTAACATAAAATTTTTTTTTGGAAAAGCATTATTTTTTCAGACGGAGAGAATATGTTTTTATGAACTCCAGTATTGGAATTTGGTAGCGCCTGTAGGGACATGACCGCCCCCGATCCGTTTCCAGTGCTGGTTCTCTCATCCGCAGCAGGTGACCCACATGGTACCACGTCAGCCACGCGGGGCCCACCATATCGTTGTCCACAAAACCACCACCAAGCTTTTTCATGGTCGTCGCTTTCCGCTTTCGTCTGCTGCTGACCATATATCTACGGTGCCAAGGCAAGACAAGGACGCACGGTTGATCCATGGCGGCCTTCACGGTGCACACGAGCGCCGCCACCTCGCTCTACTCGCCTGCGGGCACGGCCATCCTTCTCCGAAGCCGGAGTCGAGCCTACCCAACCACTACCACCATCCGCGTGTCGTGCTCAAAGACGGTGGTGATCGGGGTGGCGGCGGACTCCGGGTGCGGGAAGAGCACGTTCATGCGGCGGCTGACGAGCGTGTTGGGCGGCGGCGCGGAGTCGCCGAGGGGCGGGAACCCGAACTCCAACACGCTGGTGAGCGACACCGCCACGGTGATCTGCCTCGACGACTACCACTCGCTGGACCGGGCCGGGCGGAAGGCGAAGGGCGTCACGGCGCTGGACCCGAGGGCCCACGACTTCGACCTCATGTACGAGCAGGTGAGGGCCATCAAGGAGGGCCGCGCCGTCGAGAAGCCCGTCTACAACCACGTCACCGGCCGCCTCGACCCGCCCGAGCTCATCACCCCGCCCGAGATCCTCGTCATCAAGGGGCTGCACCCAATGTGAGACTACTGACTACTGAGGCATCCCTTGCCTCATTTTGTTTCGTCATTTTTTTCATTAATGCGCTGCCAGCCTGCGATGCTCAATAATCTACTATCTGTTGTTGCCTGTGTCAGGTACGATGAGCGCGTGAGGGACCTGCTAGACTTGAGCATCTACCTGGACATCAGCAACGAAGTGAAGTTTAAATGGAAAGTTCAGGTCCGTCGTGTATCGATACTGCTCATCGTCAGGACGTTGTTGTCTGCCTGGATTTCACGACCATTTATTTTGAGCTTCCATTCTGCAGAGAGACATGGCAGAGCGTGGGCACAGCCTTGAGAACATCAGGGCCAGCATCGAGGCAAGGAAGCCCGACTTCGATGCTTACATTGGTGAAGCCTGCCGGCAACCTTGCATTGCACGCGAAAAATGCACAAGTCACAGTGCAGAGTAATTCATATCCCTCCTCTTCTTCTTCCTGCTGCTGCTGCAGAGCCGCAGAAGCAGTACGCGGACGCCGTGATCGAGGTCCTGCCGACGCAGCTGATCCCGGGCCCGGGCGACGACGAGGGCAAGGTGCTGCGCGTGAAGCTGATCATGAAGGAAGGCGTGGAGCACTTCGCCCCGGTGTACCTCTTCGACGAAGGATCCACCGTCAACTGGATCCCCTGCGGCCGGAAGCTCTCCTGCTCCTACCCCGGCATCAGGTTCGCCTACGGCTTCGGCACCTACTTCGGGCACGAGGTGATGAACTGACGACAGTGACAATCACGCACTCATCACTGTCTCGATCTGCGTCACTAACAGCGTTTCATGCACTCTCGTGAACCTTTGGATGGTATTAATTCCTGTCTGAACTGAAGGTGTCGGTGGTGGAGATGGACGGGCAGTTCGACAAGCTGGACGAGCTCATCTACGTGGAGACCCACCTGAGCAACCTGTCAACCAAGTTCTACGGGGAGGTGGCGCAGCAGATGCTCAAGCACGCCGACTTCCCGGGCAGCAGCAATGGCACGGGGCTCTTCCAGACCATTGTCGGGCTCAAGATCAGGGATCTCTACGAGCAGATCGTCGCACGTCGCTGATCAGAGGGCTGCCATGACGGCCAACGCTATCATGGTCTCGTGATGGTTGCCTTGTACTACTAGTACACAGTAGCTAGTTTTGTACTGCCACCCTGTTCGCTGATGCTGAAATTTGGTTTATGCTGATGTTTATGCTGAAATGTTGTGAGAGTAAAACACTGTTTATGGCTGAAAAGTAGTTCTGAATAAATGCTGCAGGGACAGTGTACTGAGCAGTGCTTTATCTGCATGTCCACACGAGATGGACTTTCACTCTCGCGTCTCTTGTTAACGTGTTTAGAAAGAATTCTTCATTTTAGTGTATATTATGCTCTGACTCTATTAAAATAGTTTGTTCAAATTCTTCCCTTTGTAAATTAAAGTGTTAGCATCTCCTATATTATCTGCAAAACTAGCTACTGTATATCAATGACTCGCGCACTTGGACTACTTCGGGAGAAATACCTGTGCTGATTTCATTTTCTGGACTCACCGAATATTTATGGAAAAGGTTCATTTTAGCATTTATCTATTCTAGCTGCATTTCTTTTACATGATAGTTGAAACTGTTGTCTGTACTTTTCCTTTCTTTTAGTATTGGTGAGAAGATGGGAACAACACATTTTATTGTCTTTGAAGTTCCATTTGTCTCCACCCTCCATGTGATCAGCTTTGTGTGTCATTTGCACACCAATTTGTTGGCTTTTGCGAGTATAGATCAGAAACATAGTATAACAATATAAAATATTATTACCTTTTGCTTATTTTTAAATACAGTAATATGGTAGAACCTTTTTTGAGTAAAACAGGAGGGGCGCACCCCTACTGCAAATTAAGTTAAACAAAATGATAAAAGTACAGATACAAGAGGTGCGGTTCTCTGCCTTCCGTAGTCCCACAAATGTGTTTCAGTAGCTCCACTTGATACTTTGGCAAACCAATACAGTGTCTTGTACTGAATACAAACTTTCGATCTTACTTGATCTGAATTTTTTATGGTCATATCCATGATATTGGATGTGAAGCCAATAAAGAGCAATTAAATGGATGTCAGGACAAATATTCCATTACTGAACTGAATGCTCTGCAAAATATACAACTGAATTTCAACCAGTTCGTCAGCCTGGCAATTCATCATGTGACCATCAATCGGATTTTCAGGGCAGTTAAGGGCACAGTTTCTTGTTCTTTCATAGGTCAATAAAATAACCTCAACCAGCTAAAACTATACTGAAATATTCTATCTGAATTTTGTATATTGTAATTTTGGGATTCAATAGACAAGCACAATGAAGATACATTATGTTACTTATATAGTTACAGAAAAGAGCATTTTGGACTGATGCTGGAATGCAATTCGGGTTCATATGTGCTTAGGAAAACAACTATTCCTGATAAAGAAACATTTACATTTCTTGTACTGATTGTTTTTCAGATTTTATTTTAACAAGAAAACATCCCAGCGTGGCAAACTAGCAATGTCACATCATGCCCCTACCCTGTGTCCTGCTGACCTATGCACCACTGCCTATTACAATGACACACCCCTATCTACTGGCAACTTCCAGAGCTCGAAAGTGCAGGGGTTGACTGAGGGCGCGTTTGGCAGGGCTCTTTGGAGGTGTTCCGTTGCCGGAGTCGGAGCTCTCGGCCAAAGCCCCAGGAAGCTGCTTCTCTTTTGTACCTACGAAATGGCTCCGGCTCCTCTTCGACACGTGCAAAAGCATTTCTCCTCTCCTGGCCATTTGGTGCGGCTCCTCAGGCTCTGCTGCCGTAGCGGCCAACGGAGCTGGAGTCGCAGTAGCATACAAACAGCTATACCTTAAATCATAAAGGAGCTTATCCTCCTTCAACAATAACTCTGAAACTACACGTGCAAAAGCATTTCTCCTCTCCTGGCCATTTGGTGCTGCTCCTCAGGCTCTGCTGCCGTAGCGGCCAACGGAGCTGGAGTCGCAGCAGCATACAAACAGCTATACCTTAAATCATAAAGGAGCTTATCCTCCTTCAACAATAACTCTGAAACAGTCTCTGGAATGTGTTTTAGCAATGGAAACAAACCACTTCGCGAATCAAGCAGTGCACTAACCTTCAAGAAAAATGCATATCCATCTTCGACAGGGGTCTCGTGGGCTATTGCGTCAACCAATGTCCCTCTCAGCCCCACAATCAGACCGTCTTGCCTTGCGCATATGTCCATCACCTCTGCACAAGCAGAGTCTTTTACTTTTGAGAGTAACATCAGTGCTGACGCGTTCACATCTAGAATGCTACCCAAAATAGTTACGGCAAGTACCGGATCAACAGGTACAAGAGATTGATGGCGAGAAATATCATCAGGTGCCTTCTTCTTGTTTGATGCCGATGCAGACTGAGATGCTGCCTTTTTCTTCTTTGATGAGTTCTTCAAGTAGACATCTGCAATCAGCTTTATGTCAAGCTCTTGACCCCCCTCAATGTATGCAAGACGTTTTAGCATCTGCTCTGTGACTCTCGGACAACGTCCACATGAAGCAGAAGAATGCTTGATGTGATCGGATATACCTGCAGCGACCCGGCCAACTGACAGAACCCATCCACAAGCTAAGAAGCTATATCGCCTCACCTTCCCAACCATGGAAGACTTAGAAAACATTTCGCAGATATGCTTGTGTCCAGATCTTTTTCACCTAAGGATTCAGCAAAGTAAAGCTGGAGATAGTCGAGAACAGCCACTCTGACATTTTCTTTGACAAAATCAGGAGGTAAACTGTTATTGTTCACCATGTCCTTAAGCTTATCAACACGGAGCTCAGGGTCAGTTGGTCTGTACAGAGAATCCTCATCGCAAGACAGGGGCTCAACCTTGTCTCTGAAAAATTGTCTTGCTTGCTCAAATTCACCTTTCCCAATTAAATATGAGATGTGAGCTTCATGGAGACAATAAAAGAGTCCTGGATGAGAATGCACATTATCACCCTGAACATTGGCCAGGAACTCTAACATGTAATCTTCAATCCCTTCTCACTTCTGACCGAGTACAAGCTCTTCAAAAATTTGCACATCAAACTTCACCCTTAAAGATAAAAGATTCGGGAAAGTGACACCCAATATAGTCAACAACCGCCGTTCTGACTTTTTCTGGAACAAATCCAGGAGGTAAAACACCAGTGCTGACAATGTTCTTTAGCTTCTGAACACGGAGCTCTATATCGGTTGGCTTACACAGATAATCCTCAGCGCGAGACTGGGGCTCAGCCTTGTCTTTGAAAACCTGCTTTGCTTTCTCTACCTCACCTTTGACAATTAAATCTGAAACATAAGCTTCATACAATGGATAGAAAAGCCCAGGATGGGAGTGCTTTCTGTCACCCTCAACATCGGTCAGGAACCTGAACAAATACTCTTCAAGCTCGTCCCACTTCTTGTTCAGTACAAGGCCTTCAGCCAATTTGACCTCAAACTTCAATCGTGCCGGGGCAACGAGCAGATGCGACGAATCGGCGGTGGACTCCCGGTCTGCTGATGCACCCAGCTGACAGGGGATGAGCCGGTCGACAGTCGACAGGTGAGGAAGCGTCGGACGGATCTGCGCCGACGGCGATACTCCGCTTTTTCTTCCGCATCTGCTCTGCATCGCGCATTCGCGCTCCATCTCTTTCCTTCTCCCTTGGCGGCGGTGGAGACACGAGACACGCGACACAAGATTAAATAAGGTCGGTCGGCCCAAGGCCCATGTAAGAACCGCCAACAAGTTGGCCCACGCAGCCGAAGAAGTCCCGTCGCCTCCCGTTTCCTTCGCTTCTCCCCTTCTTCTCCCATACCGCACCGAGCCGCGGCCGCGCCTGCTCGACTTGCCCCAACCGGCCGTTCCCCGACACGATCCTCGACCTCCTCGCGACTCCAGTCCAGAGAAGCGAGCTCCGGAGAGCGGCGAGAGAGTTCAAGCCTAAGCCCCCGATCACATCTAGCCGGCGTCGAGGTACACCGGCTCTCTCCCCGTCTCAACCAATGGTTTTCTGGCATTTTCCGCTGCGCTTTTGGGTCTGGGGCTGCTGCGCTTCCGCTTCCGCTTCAGTTATGAGGGTGCCCCAATCTGTCTGTTCTCACATTCGTGGGCGCGCGCGGTTGTCAGTTGCAGTCGACTCCGGAACCTCAGTGATTGTACGCGGCAGTAGCGGGCTGGGCGGGTGGTGCTGGTACAGTCCGGGGAGGCAGCGACGCCGTTCGATGCGAAAGCAGCATTAGGGTTTAGGGACTTGGGGAGAGGAGGGAGTGGGTGTAGTGCAGCAGCTGTAGATACGGCTGCAGAGAGGACTGAAGTTTTGTGGGTGCGAAGTAAGTAGATTAGATACGCGGTGAGTTATCATCTGTCTCTCGTTCTCTGGAATCTCTATAGCTTGCTCTGTTTGATGTGCTGTAATTTGTGAGTAGAATTGTGTATTTTCTGGAGACAGAGACATGAACTTGATGATGTACTTCTCAGTTTGTTTGGGGAAAGAAAATCTTGCCAACTATTAGCATGAAATATTTGCTAGATTGTGGGTGAGCTGAGAGAGGTTATATTAGGCAATTGAGTTAGCTACTTGCTTTGGCATCAGATTGCTAGGCTTTTTCAAACTGTGAATTTCAATTGCATCTATTAAGTATGGATGTGCGGCTGGGTTAGGGATGACAATTGGTTGGAGCCCAAGCTTATTAGTGTTACCGAGTATGTCATTAGGAACCCCTCTGTTCTGGTGCCGCATTTGGTACTGCATATGCCACTGGCAACTGGCTATTTTGTTGTGGATGGGATTATAGGAATCCTTATTGAGTTGAGCCATTCCTGATTTTGACTTTACTAGCCATGTGCATGGATCACAGTGCTTTCCTTGTTGGAATCTCCTTATGCCAGGAAAATGCCTCGCAAGGTTGTATCTGGACCTGACTACGATGATGAGTACGATGACTATGATGAGTATGATGATGATGACTATGATGAGTATGATGAAACCGAATACGGCAACAACCATCCTGTTAACATGGGGAAAGGTATACTTCTGAATCTTCTGGCTTTATCCATATCAATATATCATCTCTAAAGAGGTGGCAATGGTTACTAGAGCTGCTTTATAGTTTGATTCAGACAATCGGAAATGTGCCTATTTTTTCACAACAGCTGTTCTATTGCTCAAATCAATGGCTGCCCAGCTGATTAGTGTTTATTTCGTTGGCTTGCATTAATTTCTACTGCCTATTTTGGTCACCAACTGCTGATAGGCTCAACTGCTTGATGTGGGTTGCATGTAATTGTGCCCAGTTTTATTGTAGATGTAGCATTCTGTATGTGAAATTGAAACAGTGATTTATTACATGCAAAATTTGCATCCTCTTATGCTGTGTTATGGAGATGTTGTGTTGCATATTCATTGCCTGAAGGCATCATGCATATTTGCATTCTGAGGTCAATTTTCACACATTGAGTCAGCAGTCAAAATTTAAACAAAAACCTTGTGCAGTATGAAAATGTATGGGGCTTAGCAGGTTACCACTCATCTAGCAGGTATCGCTGCTGATTGTTTGCCGGATTGTGGGCATGTGGTGAACATGCATAGTATTGTTTTTAACATCCTGAGCTACGGAAATGACTTTTTGGCGTCATCCAGCTAATTGATTTGATTGGTATCCTTTGGGTCTGCAAACGTCTATGCTTTACATGTGTTGCACTTTATGTCCTTATTGCATGGTTTAGTTTTGAGGAGTTTCTCTGCTAGTACAACCCAATTGACTGTAATATGAGTATATGGCTCATTGATCTCTAATATTTGTTGCCAATATCTTTCATAGAATCATTGAAGAAGTCCTCAAGTACAGTGCCGGTTCATTGGACATGTTCCATGTGCACGTTCAGTAATCATGAAAGCATGGTGTACTGTGAGATGTGTGGGGTTTTCCGTGAGACCTTTGTCAAATCTGCGAAGGATGGTCTGTTAAAAGGTATCAGAGTCACACATGCTTCAACAATTCTGATTCTGTTTATAAGTATACAAGGAATCGTAATGTTTCCTTACATGTTATCATTGTTCTGTCAGATGCAGCCGTTGCAGTGTCAAGTGAGCCAAGGACATCTGCTGCGTCAAAAACCGATTCTGCCAAGACGCCAGTGAAGATTCGTTCTCTGGATTCTGATGGTGATTCTGCAAGAAAGCATGCTAGTATGTCTTATGATAAAGGTATTATTGATACAAATTTGCATCATTTGTATAGATTATTAGATTGTTCATATGTCTAACTAAGAACTCAGTTGGCATGTACTATCGAGTTGGTTGCTTCTTCCTAATCATCCAAATAAATAGGAAAAATGGAAGGGAAAAATAATGACTAGCAGTATAACCATGCACATTTGCTTCTCGTATGTGCCGAAAAGGATCTTGGTTTTCTTTTTTCCCACTACGGACCGACGTTTGATGTTCCCATGGCTTTGTGGACTTTTTTTTTTCTGTCAATCCCAATCTAGTTGAAGACCTTTGTTGCTATTGCAGTCCATAGCATTGGGCTATCCATAAGTATTTTTGGATGCTAATTGCTAAACATTGTCTATATACACTAAAGAAATGGTTTGCTTGTTCAATGGCTTTGCAGTCAATATCTTGCTTGGCACGCTTTCTGAATTGAGGTGTTCTTGTATTAAGATTGATTGATGTGCCAAACTAAAGTTGATATGCTGCATATTCTATTAACAGGTAGTTATCTTTTTTCCTGTTTCCTCAATTCTAATTGTTTTGTGCATCTCAACAGCCAATTCCATGCAGTTAACATCTGCTGGAAGCTCACTAGGTGCTGAAAAAAAGAAGAAAACACCTGTACTTTCTGAAGTACCTGTGGAAAGGATAGCTCTGTTGGCTTCCGATGATTTTCAGCCGAAGGGTAACCAGAGTGGCGGGGCTAGCAGTTCTTCACAGAATGACAATGTGATCCAGAAACTCTCTTCTGACCTAGGCCAGCTAAATGTAGACAAGAACAATGTGAATGTTACAAAACCTTGTTTGTCTGAAGAGTATAAGCCTGAGAAGTGGATGTTAGCTGATCCGGAGTCAGGGGTGCTGAGCCAACTAAACCTTGCAATAGTAGGTCATCACCCAACTTCTGTTGTAAATACAGTATCTATTATTTGACATTGTTGTTCTTCTACATGTACGATGTCTGAAGGGAAGTGACTTTGAACAATGTGGGCAGGTTGGTCATGTTGATTCTGGGAAGTCGACACTATCTGGGAGATTACTGCATCTCTTAGGAAGGATATCAAAAAAAGATATGCACAAGAATGAAAAGGAGTCGAAAGAGAAAGTATGTTGGTCCCTCTTTCATATAAGCCACTCTATTTCTTAATGTGTGTAATAACTGTCTGTGTTTTATATTGCATTTTTTTAGGGGAAGGGGTCATTTGCTTTTGCATGGGCCATGGATGAGAGCAGTGAAGAAAGGGAACGGGGTGTGACAATGACTGTGGCTGTGGCTTATTTGGAGACTAAGAAATTCCGTGTAGTTTTACTTGACTCACCTGGCCACAAAGATTTTGTGCCAAATATGATATCTGGTGCAACACAAGCTGATGCAGCTATTCTTGTCGTCGATGCTTCCACTGGTTCTTTTGAAGCTGGCATGGACGGTGAAGGAGGAAAAGGTGTTGGCCAGACTAAAGAGCATGCTCAGCTTGTTAGAAGCTTTGGTGTCGAACAGCTTGTTGTCGCAGTCAACAAGATGGATGCTGTTGTGTATGCAAAAGAAAGGTTTGATTTCATCAAACTACAACTTGGTAGTTTCCTGCGGTCATGCAACTTCAAGGACTCAGCTATTACCTGGATTCCTCTTAGTGCTGTAGAAAACCAAAATTTGATCAATGCTCCTTCAGATGCTCGTTTAACCTCCTGGTAAGTTCGATATCAGGTGAACTTTTGTTCCATGTGGATAATTACATTACAATGATGAGGTTATCTAGCTTATGACCTCTTACGAGTAGTCTGAAATTTATGACTTATCGTTCCTTTCTGTTTAGAAGGCGCTTCAAAGTTCAAACCTATTGTTGCAAATGGATCTTAAATCTATATCACCTCATGGATTGAATAGTGTTGAAAAATTGCTTCAGCGTATACATGTTTTGTGGTGCTCATATCTCTAATACTACCACAGTCCAAAATAGACATCGTCTGGACTGTATAGCAATGTATAATAGTTCCTCTTGCTGCCTTGCATGAAACTATCTTAGGCGATTATCACTAACAGTAGTTATACTCGCTTTGGTCAATGTCGTTTTGAGCATCAATACAATCTCTAAAATGTGAACTGTGATGCTGAATTCCATTGTAATATATTGGTTATAAATGTAAATATGTAATATTGTCATTTGTTTTTCAAGACATATCTACATGTCACTTTCATCAGTTTGATCTAAGTAATTAAATTTAAGAAGTTGAACTACATATATCAAATGACGACTGATGTTGTCTGGAGAGAATTGAACTCTGTATATATATTTTTTCTACATGTAATCAGGAAAAAGGTGGAAGTGTTTGGAGATTGTCCATCTCTTTAACTACAAGTAAAAGAGACTGTAGTTTGCTGGCAATTTGCTTATCCATATTTGGAGCAAATGGTTGTGAACAGCTATGCTGCTATGGATTTTCATGTTAATGTTGTTTGGTTAATTTCATACTAAAACCTGTCAATGTTTTGGAGAACAGCTTCTCACTACTCTTAAATGAACTATGCCTGCAGTTAAATGTTCAATGTTGTTTTTTAATAAAAAAATTGGTTTCTACTACTCAGTAGCCTTTTTCAATCATCACATGTATATTTTCACAGCGCCTATTTGGTCAAATTTGAGAGTGTGGACCTTGAACATGTATGGGAAGACTGTTATATTTTTTTTTGTTGGCCACGAGGGGTGGGGTGGGGATGAGGGGGTTTCTATGTGATTAGGAGTATGCTGTTTCTTTTGTGTATCTAAAATGGAGATATCCTGTTAGGTATCAAGGGTTTTGCCTCTTGGATGCTATAGATTCCCTGCAGCTTCCTTCTCGGGATGTTTCGAAGCCCTTGATTCTTCCAATCTGTGATGTTATAAAGTCTCAGTCAACAGGACAGTGGGCAGCTTATGGAAAATTGGAAACTGGAGCCATTCAAAATGGTTCTAAGGTATATTCCTGTGGAGCTTCTCTTCCCTGCAGATGCGTTAAATGATCCACTATTGCATTGAGAATTTGTTATGAAGTGGATAAGGTTCCAGTATATTTATTAAAAGTTTAAAACCATGATCTTGGCCATGTGATGCTAATCCTTGACCTTTCAGTATCAAGATACGGGAATTTAGCTGCATCTAAGTTGTTTAATAATGTCCTGGGGAAATTTTTTCCTTTCCCATTCTTTCTTTACTGTTCAGTTGAATGGTCGTGAATTATATGGTTATGCTTATATTTTTCTGTGACATCCTTTATTTCCTGTTGCAGGTGTTAGTTCTACCTTCTGGGCAAGAGGCGACTGTGAAAACCATTCAGCGGGACTCCAATTCATGCACCATAGCGAGAGCTGGTGATAATGTGGCGATTTGTTTACAGGGTATTGATGGAAGTCAACTAATACCTGGCGGGGTTCTTTGCCACCCTCGTTTCCCTGTGGCTGTAGCTAACCACTTGGAGCTGAAGGTTCTAGTCCTGGACATCACTACTCCTATTCTTGTTGGCTCTCAGGTAAAATTATGACAAATTCTGCTTGATTAGCTTTTACCAGCATATCATAACAATGTTCTGGATGACTGGACCTAGGTGGAATTTCACATACATCATGTGAAGGAGGCCGCAAGAGTAACAAAAATCATTGCATTACTTGACAAGACTGGCAAACCAAGTAAATCGGCACCTCGATTTCTTAAATCCAAGCAGAATGCTCTTATACAGGTAATAAATGAAATGGATCACTGTGAATGGCTTTCTTTTAGACTACCCAACGATCATACATTTCACATACCAGTGTACTGTTTTTCTTGCAATTTTTTTAGGTCACACTAGATGGAGCTGTCTGTGTTCAGGAATTCTCTAAGAGCCGTGCTCTTGGGAGGGCATACTTGAGGTCATCTGGGCGCACGATTGCTGTTGGCGTGGTTAATCAGATAATTGTCCAAGATCAGAACTAGAAGACCCACACTCTTCTCAAATCTGAACCAAATCCTTGTCATTCTTACGGTTATACTCTATGTACTAGGCCCCGGCAACATGGTGCTGGCAAATTTTGTTTAGCAGTTGCTTATCGCCATTCCATTGTATTGAGATATAGGTGTAAGATAGTAGTCACAGCTGAGTTGTGTTCTAACCCCCGTCTTTTGCAAAAATGCTATGGATTCCTTGAAAATGCTGGAAGTCATATATGCTGACTAGTGTGATTTGTGACCACTGATTCGTTATGGTTCATATGGATATATATAGTAGTGGACACTAGCAACACGATGTTGGCAAATTTTGTTTAGCATTTGGATATCGCCATTCTCATTGTATTGAGATGCATGTAAGATGGTTACAGTTAAGTTTTGATTTCTAATCCTTGGCTTTTGGAGAAGTGCTATGGAATTCCCTCGAAATCTTAAGTCATATATGCTGATTCCTTGTGATTTGAGACCACTTAATCGTCGAGTGTAGACGTAGGTGAATGGCTGAATGCTTGTTTCGGTTCGGTGTCTTGTTTAAAAAAAAATAAGATCGCACCTTAAGCTAAGAGTCAGCTGAAGCATTCTGCGAAGCAACGGTTCCATAAGAATGTACACTGTAAAACTGAAGCAACGAGGTTACACCGTTACAGCAATCGTTACAGGGGGACAACCCGATAAATATCTAATGACTTCGTTCACATCAGATTATATCACAGTGATCCTTCGAGAGGAGTAGAACATCACGAAGATACCAAATCTGGTGTCTCGGCTTCAACAGAAAGCAAGGTCGTATTGACCTTCCCAATCCATGTATCCAAGCGGTCACGCAAGGATTTCACTTGGTCTATGCCCAACACCCTTGGTTGAACCCATGAAACATGGACAACTCCATCGACCTGATCAATTATGGCTTCTATAAGACGAGCCTGAAGAAAAAAAAAACATAGTAATGTCAAAAGACCATGATGATACTGCCACAAGAACAAAAAGGGCCAAGCACGGTTTTTGGAGGGTAGGTCTTACAGAGAGGCACTTCATTAGTAGATACTCCACATCTTCAACAGAGAGCTTGGTCTGTTCTGCTATATCCCGCATTGGGATCGTGCGGTTTTCAGATGATCGACTGCAAGTAGACAAAGCTGTTACTGAACTAAGCTTCGCTCATGATAGCACCAGATGCCCACGAGAATTACCTGAAAATGATTTCCATCAAGCAAAGAATGTTGATCTTTTCAATAAGATTCATCTCGTTTTGCACCAATGCAAGCTGTGCACTCAAAGCGGTGTTATGAGCTTTGCAGATTTCTTGGTACAAGGCTAGATTCCCAGAGTTGAAAGCTTGCAACATATGAAATATCCACTCAGCCTGAGTTCCCAAAAGGCTATGGATCTACATGATGTCAACAATGGAAATCAGTTCGAATTCTCAAAGCAATTGCACTATAGTGAAGATAAATTTGACTATGCAAGCTGTTAGGTATGGCCACGAGTTTGGTTCATGAATACAGCAAAGTTTATTTATCAGGCTGTATTTTCATGTCAAGTGAAGTCAATGATTCATATGCCATATATAAGAAAAACACATTGATCCAGCTTAGCAAATTTGCATTTGATTATAGCAATGGCATTCTAAAATCTTCCGTATGGACAAAATTAAAGTCCTAGACAAGACAATTCAAAATCAAGGACTCAGTTCTAAAGAAGACATCACGAACAATCGAGTGCAAAACTTGTACTTACGATCGGATGGGCAAGTAGCTCCCCGAAGTTGTAAATGTTTTCACCCAATAAAGCAGCAAGTGAGAGGTCAAATGCCAGGTTCTGAAACTCATATATAAACCCTATCAGAAACTGTAAGAATAAGCCCAATCTATTGGTATCAAAATATAAGCAGGGAGTAATATGTAAAACCTGTTTGAATGGTTCTGAAAGTGACTCGACTGTTGTGTATGCAAGATAAAGAAGAGCACTTTTGTAGAATTCTGAGTAGTCTTGACGGGACTTATGATACTGAGAACACACCCAGTAATAGGTAGCATGCACAGAAGGATCAACATCAACCATGCTGTCCAAAGTGGTTTTGCCCTCTTCTAGCAGCTTCTTACAATCCTTTTGATTCCCTTTCTCAAGAAGAAATGTTGCTATCTGCATCTTTACATACAGAATGGGCTCTTCAATCCGCGATTCCTGGGTATCACGCAGTTTTGAAATTACGCCTTCAAGATAGTTTATACCTGCATCCTTGTCCAAATACTGGCGTGAAACTACGACTGTGAAGTGAGCAAATTTAAGAAGATTGATCTTTGTCTCAAAATCAGAGATGAAATGATTATAAAGCTGAATCAGAGCATCACCCGCCTGAATGAAAAGAAAAACACACACACAAAGCGATCAGCGCAGTGGTAAAGACAGTAAAAGGGCAATCAAACTGTTGATAAAAAGGCCTCGAAGTATCTGTGGAAGTATGAATCTACATGTGAATGTGATAAGAGTACTTTATAATTTCACAACATAGATGTGGTAGCCATGATGCAATTGCAATGTGATAACTGAAAATTTATTCATCCATTGCTTTCAGGAAGAAAACTACCTATTTGCGCAATGTTAACTAATAATACTATATGTAATTGGTGCTTGAAGGGAAGTCATTCCATATTGCATAATATATATTATATATTAATAACAATTAAGTCCAATGAACTATGATTCTGTACCGACACAAGTGAGCTAGTTTACATAAGAAACAATTTCCAAAGGGTCACAATTTCCACAGATTAATAGAGTTAGCAACCAAAATTCTGAGCACAAGCAACCAGTATGTATTCACAATGGGTAATTATTTCTTAAGCCCAAGAGATAAATTAAAGATACATCACATTACAACAGCTGTGACATGTTTACACCTAGGATAGGAAATGTAATAGGTGTGTAGACAATCAAAACCATAGCAAGTTAAGCAAGAGTATCTGTTAAGTAGGAGTAGTAAACTAAAAGCAACAAAAACTCAAGCATTTAACTCTAGGAGTGTAGTAGAAACATATTACACATAATCCAAACTTAGCTATGCACGCTCCTATGATCGAACTCGAACCTATACTGATAGACAGTATTGCATGATGGTGTTCTCTTAACATAATTAACCCACACAAACACCTCACCCATGTGAGATTACCATCTACTCCGCGCGCTGCAGCGCACAGCATTGAACTTAGGCCTTGTTTAGTTGGCGATTTTTTTTGGGAAATGGTACTGTAGCACTTTCGTGGTTATTTGACAATTAGTGTCCAATCATAGTCTAATTAGGCTTAAAAGATTCGTCTCGTGGATTTCGTCTAAACTGTGTAATTAGTTTTATTTTTTATTTATATTTAATGCTTCGTGCATGCGTCCAAAATTCGATGTGACGGGGAATCTTGAAAAATTTTACAAAATTTTGGAAACTAAACAGGCACTTAAAAGCTATCGGCCACAAGTAAAAATGCGCCCCCTTTAAAGTTTAACCCTAAACAGATCAAGCCGCACGCTGCACGCCAGAAGACAACCGACTAGGGTAGGTAAACAAAAGGAGACATCATTAATGATGGAATCATGCGGACCTGGACGACGGCGAGAGCGAGGAACTGATCCAGCTTGAGGGTGAGCTGGTGCCATAGCTTTCGCTGGTACAGGTCGGCGAGCGCCGCGTACCACTCCGCGAGCTCCGGCCGGGTCGCGCCCTGCGCCTCCAGGAACTCCATCGCCGCCGCCATCGCCAGCCAAATCCCCTTTTCTTTCTTCCCGGCCAAGAAGACGAGCACTGCACGAGCTGGAAGAACCGAAGAACGATGGATCGATCTGCTCGGTCGCGGTCGGGCTCGCAGCTCGTTACCGAGCCTGTATACACTTGTATACTTGTATGTGAGGAGGCCCAACACGGCCCATAAGGCCCACAAGAGGCTGTAGCGAAGTTGGAATGGATTACTAGTAGCACCAGAAAGAGAGAAACAGCCAAGTCGTCTTTCCCGACGCGTCCGCCTTCTCCGCTCGCTCGCTGCCGTCCTAGGTTTGGAGCCAGGTCACCGGCGCTAGGAGGGCGTGAAATCGAGTCGACGGCCGGCCCTCACCCGTTCTCCACCGACTGCTGGCGCTCCTGGGAGGCGACGCCGGGACGGCGACCCCGCACGCGCACGGGCGGCCAGACCTTCGCCGGTGTGACTCCTCCATCCAAGGCTTCAGCTCCAGGCCGAGCCGCCCCGCCAATCGCCGTCCGCCGAACCGCCTAGGTGAGCCGTGACTGTAAGTGTCCTCTCTGTCTCCTGTCTCCTGTCTCCAGTCTCCTCTCTGTAGCTGTAGGAACAGATGGCTAGTTGATGTACAATTCTCCAGAGTAGAAACAGCTACAGATTTCCCTTCAATTTTTCTCCCAAATCGTGGCGTGAGCGCTGGGCCGAACTAGGTGTATTGCTGTATTATATTAGGTCAGCCCAATTTAACTTGACTTGGCTGATGGCAATGACCAAACTGCGAATAGCCCAAGCTGGAGAGAGATCGGTTCTCTTCAGCCCTTTCGGTTTGTGTCATCCAGTGTGAGCACCTCCCACCGATCACTTCTTACCGTTCAAGTGCCACCACAGCGATTGGTGAACACGAATTCTGGCCGCCCGCTTCAGCCATTTTGAGTGGGAAAGGGAAAGCATAGAGGGAGCTGCCGAGCTGGCTCATTGAGGGCATGCACGAGGCGTGGGCTGCGTGGGCGTACTGGAGCCGGGCACGAGCATGGCCTAGGAGGTGAGGACCGAGAGGTGCCAGCATCAGCGACAGCGAGCGCTGGCGCAACAGCACGTATGGCTGTCTCATCCTTTACAAAGAAACAGTATAGAAAACACGTCTGATCCCTACATTCCGTAGTTGCTACTTGCTTGTTGGAACTTTTATTTGTTGAATACTCAAATTATGTTGGGTTCTTGGAAAAGGTGGGTACAAAATTAGGTTGCTCATCAGCCAATTGCATAATTTTATAGATTTAAAGAGCATCTTTAGTACCAATTCATAGAGTTGCTTGGACCCAAGTACCTTATTTTTTTTCGCGGATACGCAGGAGAACTGCGTATCATTGTATTAGTAGTAGAGAAAGGAGTCATACAGAGACCCAAACACACACACAAACACACACACCCACTTACTGACTGAGTGCCGATGCTGTTGTTTATGAGGGAGAAGTGGAAGGGGAATCTGCTCTAGTAAGCCCCGTGTTCAAATATTTTTTGTTACATATTCACTTAGGTCCTATTTGGTAAGGTTTCTTTGTATCCAGACTCGTCAAGAAGCCACGCTTATGTGGCTTCATCCTTGTAAGACAAAAAACGGCTTCTCCCTTCTGGAGTTCCTCTAGTGAAACTGTTTCTTAAGTCAGTGTTTGAAGAACTTAATCCAAGAAGTCAGAGAAGCCACACTTGAAGCCCCTCAAGAAATCCTGCCAAACAGGGCCCTAATTATCTACTTGAGGAATAAAATATTCATGAAATGAACACCTTCAAACGAACATTTATTTCTCAAATTAATAAATATAGGTTGTCTATCTTCTGGTGTTTTGATCATTCGATGTAAGGTGAGTTGTATGGTTGATGGAACAAAATTCCTGTGTTCTTTTCATGTGAGACTGTGAGAGACAACACTTGAATCTTTGTCTATACCATCCATTTACTGTTTAGACTATAATAGTTATATGATACCCATATATATATGGTATTGGCTGAACCCAAATGTTGGTTAGCTTTGACATATGTGCCTTGTTCGCCCTACCTATATTTTCTGGCTAGGTCTGCAACTAGAAACAAGTATGAGTACCTTCTAGCATCTTCTGAATTTTCTTGGAGTAGCATGTCATGAATTGAGATTTTCTTGATGTACAGAGCAGAAATAATAGCTTCTATCTCAGCTGGGCCCTTTTGCCTGGCTTCACAAGTTTGAGGGAAGGTTCTTTGTTTGCTCTTCTACCTGCAATTTCGTTGGGTGACACCACTGTCCACTTAGGGTACTTTGTCTCGGGAATTGGCATTTATTGAGTTGTTTGAATGAGGATAATCAGAAGTGGATGGGGTGAAGCAAAGCTACTGTGGAATATCATGAGTGTTTCCAAGTCCCTTGTTCCATTTGCGGATGTTGGGTGGTGTTTTGCCAAGTTATTGACTTGCGTGCCTGGTGGTGTTAGGATTCAACTGAAATTTAGGATGAATTCTGTTGTTGTTTTTTTAGGCTTTTTTATGTTTGGTCGACTCAACATGATTTTTTTTTTCAATAAGCAAGGGGACATTTGATTGTAAACAGCCTCAAAGGACCTAGTTTGCACTCCAGCGTCTTAGCAAGCAAGCGGTTGTTTTGCATAGCTGCCACAAATGGTTGAGTTCATGGTGCAGCCCGCAAAATAAATATTCTTTGATAAACATTTTATGGTATAATTTAGTTGTGCAATTTGAACAAAATATTGTTGCCAACACATTTTCATTTGTTTCGACTTTCAGGAATTTTGTCTTCCTCATCTAAAGTTACTGCATTGCATTTCATAGAAATGGCTATGGGGTTGATTAATGCTAATCCTATAATCCATGAGAAAAAAGAAAGGCGCGTCCGACCGGCACCAGAGACCACAGATGAAAATGCGGCAGAGCCCATAGACCAGCTGGAAATATTTGATATCCTTCTTAATGATTTCCCTTATATAAATGTAGCGAAGCTTGTTTTTCTATTTATCTGTGAGCTCTCTGTCCTAGCTATTTGGTTGTGGTCCTTAATGTTCTTACATCACATTAGAGATATAAAGGATCCAGAGCACCCATACTCACTGGAACAGCTGAATGTGGTAACTGAAGACTCAATTGAACTCAATGATGAAAGTAATCATGTCAGGTAAGTTCTCATATATCTATGCTCCTTGGTTTGGATGTACAATTCAGGATTGTTACTGGAGCTCACTCTTGAGATTCATATTTGCTTTGCATCAGGGTTACGTTCACCCCAACAGTGGAGCACTGCAGTATGGCAACTATTATTGGCCTTTGCATACGTGTGAAACTTGTACGGAGTCTCCCTCCTCGTTACAAGGTTTGTTGTCATTGTAGAGCTTGAGACAAAGTACTTATGTTACGATTTACACTATCAATATTATTTTGCCAGAGCAATCAGGGTTTGATATGTTACCATCAAGCGCAGTTTGGCCAGTTCTAGAAATCTGTGATAGGCATGGCATTTATGTTAGGATACTGCTATCATAAAGGATGGTTTTGTTGCTAATTACTTTTTCAGAGATGGTACATGGGCCTGAAATGTCTGTCTTTCAGATTGAATTATAAAATGATTATACCATTGTTGCACATAAAACTTGGGCACTAAAATGGTTACAAAATTGGTGGCTCATGTACATAATATGCTATACATTTCATAAGAAAATATTTGATTTTTTTAGGCGGAAATGCAATCTAATAAGAAAGATCTGGAAGTTTTTTTAATCTTTTTTTAATCATTAACATGTTAGGGAAAATTGTTTCTTTGTCTATTGTGTGTGCGCACGCTCTTTCTCTCTCTATCGTTTGTTATCTCGTTAGAAAATTTGGACAACCATCTGAATCTTAACTGTTATAGGTGGACATAAGGGTTGCCCCTGGATCGCACGCAACTGAAGCTGCTGGTATATGTTCTACAGCTTCTGCAATAGTTACCACATCAATCGCTTGGCTAAATATCTCATCATATAAATTATTTCTTTGTTGCAGTGAATAAGCAACTGAACGACAAAGAACGTGTTGCGGCTGCATTGGAAAACTCAAATCTACTGGACATGGTGGAAGAGTGTTTATCACCAACATTTGATTGAGGCCTCAGGCCTGAATATTATATCATGTTCAGAAGCCACACTAGCTTGTTGCCAATGGAGTCCACTCCTGTCATTCGAGTACCGAAATGCGTTGGCTGTTAAAGGACGTGTGCATGATTTTTTCCCTCTGTCCCTTTGATGAGTTATTATAATTGTTACCTTTTTGGACGTTTTTGGTGCTTGTGACCTCCCTGCTGTGCCTGAGCAAAGGGAGATGTAATCTTGTGCTGTAGCTTTCAGAGCGTTGTCAGTGTCACACCATTTTGTGGCTGTGTACCCTACACAGTCAACTGAACTTGGTAGGAGAGTCCTAGAATCCTCAAAGCATTACTCATTTCTGTTTCCTACTTGGAAATGTTTAGTTTCCGAGTTCCTAGCATGTTTTTTTTTTTTTAATTGTAGAGCATGCCCTTAGACCTTAGTTTGCATAAGAAAATCGTGATTTCCCTTCAAGTTTGGTTTCTTGGCTCAACTGATCATGCCAATTCTGTGGCTTAATTGCAGTGGACTGTGATTCTATCATTCTGTGAACCGTCTCCCTGAAGACGATACGCTTGCAGGTTGCAGCAGCGCCCACCGAATGAGCATGACATGCTTGCAGTAGCAGGCCAACGGAAAGACGGAACCATGTGCATCCCTGGCTACAGCATACAGGCACACATTGCACCAGCCCAACCTCGTGTCATCGTGGCAAACTTTTCTGCAGTGCGCCACTGCCCCGTACGCTTACGGCAAAACGGCTGGCTCTGGCTGCCTCACAAGTATCGCATCGGCATCGCAGTCGCATGGCGTGCCCGCAGGTCGCGGGCGTGGCGTGCAGTGTGCACCCGAGTGAGCCTGGACCTGGACGGCGCACACCAGCAGCAGCAGGCACCAGGCAGGCTGTGTCGTGTATACAGCCCAGCAGGCGCGGAGGAGAAAATCTTAGGAACCCAAACAGCCGACGGAATCTCACCTGCTCCCCAGCCCAGGCCTTCGCTCTCGGCTCTCGCTGCCCTGAGCCCTCCGCGTCCCCCGCCCGCGCCGCCCCGGATGCCGGCGTGGGCCGAAGCGGCGCTCGTGCTCGCCTCGCCATCCCCCGCCTCCTCGACCACTTCGTCATGTGGCGTCAGGCCGCGCGCCGCCTTGCAGTCCGGCAGGCTCTTCTGCAAGGTGGCTCCTCCCTTTCCCCTGCCTCCGGCCATTTCTTATTCTGTACGACGTGCTACTAGTGAGGCGGGCGGGCGTACTGGTGCTCTCTAGCAGCGATTGCGAGCGTGTATGGCTCCCGCCGGTATTGGTACCGCTCCTCGATCGGCAGGTGTGCTGCTGCTGACTTGTTGAGTGATGCGTTTAGACTAGTAGTGGCATCTAGCTGAGTTAACCAGCTGGCTGTTTCATGTATGCGTGATATTCCTTGCGACAGCATATTATCCTCTTTGTGCTGAAGTTTTGGTGGGGGCGTGTGGTTCCTCGAATTGGACGTTGTATAGATCGGATTGCAGAATAAGGCTTGATGCGTAATTTGTGGAAACTAGTTTGTTATACTCAAATTGAGCAGTGAGCGCCCTCTGAGTGCTCTTAGTGCTAATCTGGTCTGTGTTGCATGAGGTTTTGTGTGCTGTTGCTCTGCCTTGCGATGCATCCACTGTTGCAACAAAAACTATCATTCTTTTCCAAAGCTCTGGAGCTACATGCTACAGTGTTTAGGGCGCTGGCCTACTGGGTGTGCTTTGTCCATTCAGTGAAAAGATACCTGCACCGCACTTTATTCAAAACTGATATGCAAAACTATCTAACCTACTCAAATGGTAGTGTCTTTGAAAATTGAATATAGAACTTGTCACTGAAAGTAGCTCAAATCATAAAGATAGATGCATTAAAAGGCCTGGCTGCCTTAGCATTTGATATTTCTGTTGTGAGGATTTTGGCTGTTCATGATGATTGCCATATAGTGATATAGCATGCCAAACCTTGTATAGTTGTAAAAACATCTGTCTGGTACTTACAATATCAAATTTTTTTGGCTCACTTGTTCACTAAATTCTTATGTGTTCGTCACTGACGTTTGTGTAGATCGGGTTGTGAGGATTTTGGCTGTTGATGATGATTGCCATGTAGTGATTTAGCACACCAGCCCTTCGTAGAGTTGTAAAAACATCTGTCTGGTACTTACAATATCAACTTTTTTTTGGCTCACTTGTTCACAGTTCACTAAATTCTTATGTGTTTGCCATTGACGTTTGTGTAGATCGGGTTGCTGAATAAGGCTTGAATTTGTGGGAACATGGTTGGCTATACTTAAATTGAGTAAACTTTGAGTACCTGTTGTTAGTGCCAATCTGGGCAGTGTTGCGTTAGGTTTTGTTTGCTGTTCCTCTGCCATGTGATGCATCCACTATTGCAACAACTTCGCCAACATTGGAGTGCCGGGTGTGCTTTGTCCATTCATACAAAAGATATCTGCACTTTATTTAACACTGGTATACAGTTCGATTTAATCTACAAAAATAGCAGTGTCGTGCAATGCTAAAAATTGAATACAAACCTTCCCTGGAAGTTCCTCAGACCATAAAGATAGATAAAAGGCCTGTGCTGTCTTAGCATTTGATATTTCTGTTTTGAGGATTTTCTGTTTATGATGCTTATCGTGTAGTGGTATAGCAAAAACATGTCTGGTACTTACACTATCAATGTTTCGGATCACTTGGTTTTACTAAATTTTGATGCATTTGTTGAAGTTGGTTGTGTTATGCCCATTGTGTAGTTGATTTTCTCAGTGCTGTGTGGCTCTTCCTTAACATCTGATGGTAATCATTGCGTTTTATTCTTTCTTATGCTTGAACTGTTCTGCTGAACCTAGATGTTCATTAAGGCCCTACTTATCTATGCAATTTTCTGTCTACATCATGATGCTGTATTATATATGAGCAACCTACATCTCACTTTTTTAAAAGTTATTCTGGGTCAAGTGATGATGGCTTGTTGTTCTGCAGGGGTTCCCTTGTACCATTCATTCCAAAGCTGGATTCCAGATTCATAATTACCGTACAAGGACATTCAAGATTAAAGCAAAAGCAGAATCTAGTGATGGCTACACACAGCTTGCTCCACTTAGATTTGAATCTCCAAGCGGTCAACTTCTGGTTCAAATACTACAATCACACCCTCACCTTATCCCTGCAACAGTTGATCAGCAACTTGAAAATCTTCAATCAGAGAAAGCTGCCCAAAGCGAAGAAGCCTCAAAAGTTCCCCAGGACCTCCTCTACAAGTAAGTTCCCTCAATTCCTTATAACTGTCTCCTTCAAATCAGCAGCAAGCACTCAATCATCATATCTGCTATTTTGTTCACCATGTTTTATATTAAGATTTAAACCTGCAAGGCAACTATCCATGAATAATGATACACATTTAGTCTCACAACATTGAAAAAAATGGTTTCGGTCTGCAAAAGGCTACAGTTCAGACAGTATATATAATTTAAAAAGAACAGAAACAATTTCGGCAGTAGAGATAGAGGAAAACAAGGTGCAGCTAAGTAGATTCTGGATTGACTGATTCAGATGATAGCTTGCCATTACTTGCTTGGGACTAGAAGGCTTTGATGTTATTGTTCTACCCTCCATCGAATCATGTAAATATAGTCATAGTCACATCAATATTACACTTAACAATTCACTAATTGGTGATAAGCTAATTGAACTACAGGAGAATTACGGAAGTCAAAGAGAAGGAAAGGCAGAATGCCTTAGAAGAGATTATCTACTGTTGGATTATATATAGGTTCATGGATAATGACATATCTATGACATCTGCATTATCACCAGGGGGTGGCCCTGTACGTGACATATCTGCGTTGCCTAATCAAGAGGATAAATTGCAAAGCATACACTCCACAGATGCTTTTGAGATGATACAAAACCATCTCAATCTTATCATGGGAGAAAAGATAGCAGCAGCACCGGATACTGTTGTTGAAATCAGCAACTTTAATCTTGGAAAGCTGTATGCAGCATCCATCATGTATGGTTACTTCCTGAAGAGGGTGGATGAGCGATTCCAACTTGAGAAAACTATGAAGACTCTCCCACCAAACCCCAAGCAGCAGATAGTATTTGAAAACCTACAACCTAATCCATTCTGGGATATGGAGTCCTTAGTAAAGATTACACCTGATGGGGAGGAGATAAGTTTGGATGACGAAGAATCAAATCCAAACAAGTTGAAGTCTTATGTCTTGCAACTGGATGCTGATACATTGCAAAGATTTGCTACTATCAGATCGAAGGAAGCCGTCTCACTGATTGAGAAGCAAACTCAGGCATTGTTTGGACGGCCAGACATCAAGGTATTGGATGATGGTTCAGTCAATGCAAAGGATGGTAGAATGATAACGATCACATTTACAGAGCTGAATCATCTGGTCTTGGAGGCAGTTGCTTTCGGTTCCTTCCTGTGGGAAGCTGAGAGTTATGTAGAATCGAAATACCATTTTGTCAACAGTTGAATGTGCCTTTCTTATTTGAATTTTGGAAATGGTTTGTGTACATGAGATAGGGTAGGATCCATCTCTGATCTGTTTCTCAGTGTAGTCATGGTTCTTGCTCGCTATCAGTAACAGGCAAAGCTCCACCGTCCATGAACCATGCCTCTAACAGGTTTGTGATTTTCATCAAAGGAAGTGGACCTGATCCATAGTGTAATCTAACAGGCAAGTGAAAATTAACAAATAGTTGATGTTTTCCAAAATCACTGGACCGTGTTCTAAATCGTCCCCATCAACTAGTTCACTGTAACAGTAACACTATCTCCCGGTTCTTCAGTTGTGTTTGCCGTCATGTTCACAACTGCACGCAGTGTGCTCTTTTGAGTTCTCGCCGTCACGCTATGGGCTATGGCTACTCGGTACTATTGTTCGTCTTCATTTTTCAGTTGTGGACCATGTTCTTAATTTGCAGCTGCATAGACTTGAAGATACATAGCTCGCGTCATTACTTGCTTCAATTGCAGAAGCAGGATCTGCCACAGCCACACCAACTATGCGGCGCAGGCGCAGCGCACTGGCTAGACCGCAGAGTTCCCTTCCCGCGTTGTGAAGTCCAGCCATGTCTGTGGCCGGGCATCGGTGGGTGCTGCGCGTGGGCGAAGGTGTTGAGTGTTGACGACGGTAGGCAGCTGGCTGCAGACCACCGTGTAACTTGTGCATTTGGCATGCAGTTGGATATGTTTTACACGTATGCAACCTGTTTTTTTCTTCCCATGGTATAAAAAAATTGCTCTCTCTTACGAGTGTTTGCATATACAGTCATCCATACGAAGTCTTATATAGGTTTGGTTTTAAGATCTGGAGCTATTCACAGTAGGTACAATTTAGTGAAAATCAGTTTTTAGATATATATTTAAGAGTGCTTGTAACGTGTTAATGTAAGAGCATCTCCAGGAGTTCTCTACTTTTTTCTCCTAAAAACTTATAGTTTGGCAACTCCTAAAAAGATTTGGGGAGAAAAAAAGAAGGTAATCTCCAAGAGTTTCTAATAAATGGCATAAAAAAATTAAATTTGGGGCCCACATGAATTATGTTGCGGCTTTTTTTCTTTTCCATGCATCTTCCTCCTCTCACTTCCGAGCGGACCCCACGTGTCATAGACAGCAACATGCATCTTCCTCCTCTCGACATCAGGGATGCCGCACTCACCCGCCGGGGGCAGCAACGCTGCTTCATTGGGGCTAGCCGTGCAGCTCTTTCGTTGGCCGGGTTGGCCGTGCCACAAGCTTCGCCGGGTCGGGCTGGCCGTGCCGCGCTCTCCAACCGAGCCTGTCCACGCGCGCGTCGCCCTGGGAGGCGTGGGGGCAGAGCTGAGGCGCGTCGTGTGGGCGGCGGCCGGGTTCGCCGGAGGTCGAGGGGCAACGGGGCCGGAGGTGAGGCGAGGGCGTGCGGGAGGCAGCAGGCCGCGACGTCCTCTGTGCTCGATCTGCGGCCACGCCTGCCGCCAGGGCTGGGGCCTGAGTCCCGAGCGATTCGCCGCACCGTGCCGACCGTGGCTGTCCGCGCTCGCTGGCCAGGGCTCCCGCGCTCGCCGGCAGCGAAGGAGGAAGGGAAGGAGCGAGGGAGGGAACGCCGGTCGCCTGCCGTGCCATTGGAGCCGCGTCCGCGCGACCGGAGCAGGCGCCGCCGTCGGGATAGGACGCGCCACCGCTGGGATAGGACCACGCCGCCACCAGGGATGGGGCAGAGATGCCCACGGCCGGCAAGGGAGGATCCGGAGGGAGTAGCGGCGCGCGGGAGGCGAAGGAAACCGAGCAGGAGTCGAAGGATACGCGCGAGGCTGCGGCGCGTAAAGTTACGCGAACAAGGGGGATTTTTTCCAACTCCTAAAATACTAGGAGATTGTATTAGGAGTTGTTGGAGATGGATTTTTTATGGATCTTTCTAAAAACTTAGGATTAGGAGGAGATTTAGGGAACTCTTGGAGAGGCTCTAGCCAGCTATTATCTAATATAATTCTTCTTTTGCCTAAAAAAATCAAATAGCTTCCACCATCCCTAGTTCATATTGGAACAACCATTTGTTATTTGGCACCCAAACTCAAATTCTTTCTTATCTGGCCCCATCTCAACTTTTTCTTTCCATGATGCTTTGATCACACCAAGAAGAAGAGAAAAGTTAGCGTGTGTATTATACATGAGCTAGTGGAGACGCGTGTGCAGGCTCACGTGTCGTCGTCAAGAAACAGAGAAGAAATGATTAAGCTAGCTATCTGCACGTTCATGCATGCCATACGTAACTAAACTAACGTACAAACCAGTAAATCTGCTCAGATAATCCAAGGTTATCAAATAGAAAATTCTCTGCAACAATTTCTTTGATTAATCAAACACGAACAGTTTAACTGAAAATTCAAATATAGAATTATAGAAAGAATTTTAATTTTAAAATTATGAAATTAATGACATATCCATGTAAAATGGGTTGCATTTGTTTTTTTTACATCTAAACTAACAATATTTATAAAGGTCGATACTTTATTTGTAATTTTTTTTAAAAAAATATCAAAACAGCGTGGTAAAAACGGGGCCCCACTTATCCGCCTGTGGAGGGCCGATAGACCCCATCGGCTTCCGACTAGCGGAGAAGGCTGCCGGCGCTACATGAGGAACAACATGTCGGCTATTGGTAAGCCGACAGGATCCTATCACAATTTTTTTTTATAATAATTCCTATCTCACGGTCGCCTGGTTTTTCTCGGTCCGTTCAGGCGAGGTGAACCTGTGACGTGCAGAGTAGTACTAATACGGTAGTCACTTCTCCTATATTATCCCTAAAACAAGTATAGTAAATTATTACTTTTATGTTTTGTTTTGTGTCTTTGTGTCATAATATATTAAATTTTGTCCTTATCTTTCTATAGAAAATAATTATAAATTGTTAATTGTCTTTGTTCCAACACAAATTAAATTTTACCGGGTTTGTGGTTTTGGTTCTGAAAATTGTAGATTGCATTTACAGAAATTGCAATAAACAGAATTAATAATTTTAGTATAAAATATATGCAATAACCGTCGCCCGAAAGGAAACTAAAATTCAACAAATCCTTTTTTTATTTTAGCTCTTAGTTTTGCAATTATTTATTAAAATATTACTATATAAAAAAATCAAACACGACATCGTCGGTGGCTACGACCTACCTGATAGGGAACTGCGGTAGGCGGTAGGCGGCACTCAGGTGTAGTGGAGAGGGCGATGGTGGTAGGCTGGCGGCTAGGCGCAGTGAGAACGCCGCATCGGAGCAGTCGTCGTGGACCACACCGCATCGACGCAGAGAACTCGGCGGCGAGTGGTGACTAGTGAGTGGCGGTGGAGAGATAGGAATGCAGGCAGCGGCGCTCGGGCGCGGTGGAGAGGAAGGATGGCGCCAGGCAGGCGGCCGAGCGTGCCGCAGCGGTCGTTGTGGACCACGCTGGAACCAAGTGGCCAGTGGAGGTCAGCGGCGAGTGGAAGTCACGTGTCTAGAGTCAAGTGAAGCCCGAATCCAAACGTTTTTGGAGTGGATTATTTTTTTTGAAAATTTCTGGAGTAGGGTTGGGGCCGTTGCGGTTGACGATAATGGGAGCGTCCGGATGCTTGGACGCCCTAAGATTATCATTTCCGCCGGGTTCGAGGAAGAAGCCAGGGTGTTTTTTACGGTTGTTTTATTGGTCACATTCTCTGGTGTCGAGCACCGGTGCGAATCGGCGCAGCGCCGTGAGGAATAGGACGGGTGTGATTACAGCCACGCGGGCCACGCGGGGGTCCTTGACGGGCGTGACAACGGCCTTGGTCTGGAGGTAGTTGCGGAGGGCGTAGATGCCCTTCTCCCGCCAGACGCCGCTCATCTTGTAGCCGCTGAACGGGATGGTGGCGTCGAACACGTCGTAGCAGTTCACCCACACCGTGCCAGCCCGCAGTGCCCGGGACAGCGTGTTGGCCGCGTCTAGGCTCCGCGCGAACACCCCCGCCGCCAGCCCGTAGTGCGTCGCGTTCGCGCGCCGGATCACCTCCACCATGCCGCTGCCACAAGCAAGAAAAGAGAGCACGCGTGTGGCGGCTCTGCACCGTCAGTCGTCATGCCACGAAGACACACATTGCCTTGTGTGGCTGTGTCACAAGATCATTCATGCGTCACCATGCGTTTGTACCTAAACTTGAGGATGGTCTGCACCGGCCCGAATATCTCCTCCCGAGCGATCTTCATTTCGTCCTACATGAGCCAGACGCCACAAAAATGGTGCGGCCATTGAGCAAGTTGAGAACAAAATCGAAGGACGTGTTTTGGTAGAAGCTCGCTGAGCCTTACCTTGGCGTCGGCGAACACCGTCGGCTGTATGTAGAAGCCCCTGTTGCCTACCCTGTCGCCGCCGGTGACAAGGGTGGCGCCACTGTCGACGCCGGACTGGACGTACCGCAAGATCTTGTTGAATTGCTCGCCGTTGATCTAACGACGCACGCAAGGAGAAGCTTTCAAGGCCGCGGTGGCTGAAACTGAAACGGATGCACACGGATGGCACTCAGAAATAGAAGTGCGTACCTGAGGCCCCTGTTCGACGCCACTCCTGAAGGGGTCGCCGACCACGCGTTTTAGGGCGCGGACCTTGGACTTCTCCACGAACTCTGCACGCTGCCAATTGGTGCAGTTGGCTTTTGGTTGGCCGATAATCATACCAGCCGACACGCAAGCAAGCAAATCACGTTTGGTGACCATGGCCGTGGCGCTGGTATGACTCGCGCATCCTCTGGTATATCTCCCTTCAGTTCAGAAAGTGATCAGTCTAGCAAAAGGCAGATGTGGATCGACGGCCAACAGAGCGTGTGTTCGTGCACGTACTTCCCGTAGAAAAGGGCGACATGCGACAGCGTGGCGGCTATGGATGCGAAGCCGAGGCCATACGATATGGCGAACAACAAGCTGAGGTGGATCTTCCCTTGCTTGGCGTAGGCGTCCATGTCGATCTCGAAGCTGTCGTTGACGA